GGTGTCCCAGTTTCCATCATTTCAGATAGGGGCACTCAGTTTATATCGCAGTTTTGGAGGTCTCTGCAGCGAGAGTTGGGTACTTAGGTTGATTTGAGCACAACTTTTCACCCTCAGATGGAAGGACAGTCCGAGCGCACTATTTAGATATTGGAGGACATGTTGCGTGCTTGTGTCATTGATTCCGGAGGGTCATAGGATCAGTTTCTACCGCTTGCAGAGTTTTCTTATAACAACATCTATCGGTCAAGTATTGAGCTAGCTCCATATGAGGCTTTATATGGGAGGCAGTGTAGATCTCCAGTTGGTTGGTTCGAGCCCGGTGAGGCTAGGCTATTGGGGACAAACTTGGTGAAGGATGCCTTAGAAAAGGTGAAGGTGATTCAGGAGAGGCTTCATACAGCGCAGTCGAGGCAAAGAGTTATGCTGACAGGAAGGTTCGAGATGTGTCCTACATGGTTGGTGAAAAGGTTCTGTTGAAGGCTTCGCCCATGAAGGGTGTTATGAGATTTGGAAAGAAAGAGAAATTGAGTCCGCGGTTCACTGAGCCTTTTGAGGTGCTTCGGAGGATTTGGGAGGTGTCTTATGAGCTTGCTTTGCCACCCAGCTTGCGAGCGTGCATCTAGTATTTCATGTTTCTATGCTCTGGAAGTATATTGGGGATCTGTCTCATGTTTTTGGATTTCAGCACGGTTCGGTTGGATGATAATTTGACCTATGAGGGGAGCCAGTAGCTATTTTGGGTCATCAGGTTCGAAAATTGAGGTCGAAGGATATAGCTTCAGTGAAAGTGCAGTGGAGAGGTCGGCCCGTAGAGGAGGCTACCTGGGAGACCGAGCGGGAGATGCGGAGCAAATATCCTCACCTGTTTGAGGCTTCAGGTATGTTTTTTGATTCGTTCACGGACGAACGATTGTTTAAGATGGGGAGAATGTGACGACCCGGCCAGTTGTCTCATGAGTTACCGCTCCGTTTTCCCCATTTCTGCTTCTTTATTCCTCATTTATCCGTGTTATGTGGTATCGGGTTGGTCGTATTGAATCTGGAATGATTTTGGTAAGGTTGAGACACTTAGTCTCTTTTAAAGAAGCTTAAGTTCGAAAAAGTCAACCGGATGTTGACTTATGTGTTAGAGGCCTCGGATGTGAATTTTGATGGTTCGGTTAGCTCCGGAATGTGATTTATGACTATCGGAACAAGGTTCGGAGTAGATTTAGGCTTGAATTGGCGAAGTTGATATTTTAGCAATTTTCGGTTGGTAGGTGAAATTTTGATATAGGGGTCGGAATGGAATTCTGAGAGTTGAAGTAGTTCCGTTGGGTTATTTGGGATGTGTGTGCAAAATTTTAGGTCATTCGGACATGGTTTGGTTGGGTTTTTGATCAAAAGCGGAATTTGGAAGAATTTAGAAAGTTTGGCTTGAATCCGATGTGTTTTGGTTGATTTGATGTTGTTTGAGATATTTTGAAGGTTGGTACAAGTTTGAATAAGTTATTAGGTTATGTTTGTGCTTTTGGTTGAGGTCCCGGGAACCTCGGGGTGATTTCGGATAGTTAACGAAGAAGTTTGGACTTTGTTGCAGCTGCTGAATTTGCTGATTCTGGTATTTTTGCACCTGCGGATTGGGGACCGCTGGTGCGGCGCCGCATAAGCGGATCGCAGAAGCGAAAAGGTCTTGAGGAGCAGGAATGGCAGAAATGGCTAAGAGACCGCATCTGGGATGTCGTAGATGCAGGTAGGAGACCGCGAATGCAGACTAAGGGGAATAAGTGATTTCCGCAGAAGCGGAGGAAGAACCGCAAATGCGGTACCGCATAAGTGAAAATTTGGCCGCAGATACGAAAATGTCTGGGCAGAAGGTATAAATTGTGTCCTTCGCGAATTTGAGTTATTTTCACCATTTCTAATTCGGCTTGGGAGCTATTTGGATAATTTTGAAAAAGGATTTCAAGGGAGCATCATTGAAGTAAGGAATTTGGACCTAAAACTTATCCCTACGCTATTATTTCACAGATTAGAGCTCTGATTAATGGAATTTAAGGGCTATAATTGAAGAACTAGGGCTTGGAATCTTAGACCTTTGATTGAGGATTTGGAGGACCATTTGAGGTCGGATTTTTGAACTTTTGATATGTATGAACTCGTGGTGAGATAAGGAATCTATTGTTGTAAAAATTATCGAATTCTGAGACGTGGGCTTGAGGGTCGGGTTTTGGTAATTTCGGAATTTGTGATGTATTTTGATTATTTTCGCTTGGGCTTCATTCCCTTAGCATATTGGGGATTGTGTCTTGGTCTGTCTTGATTGATTATTTTACCGCTTATTTGACTGAAATCTATTTGTTGTCATTATTATTTGGGCTGAATGCCTTATTTGGGCTTCGTGCCACCTATTTGGGCCTCTATTAGGAGGCTGGTATTATGAAAAGTAAACACATAAATGATGTGAGATGTGAGATTGGGTTATTTCCGTAAATTATGCTATTATCTATTAACTTGGGATTATCTTATTATGCTTAGATTTATTTCTTATGGTTTAACTGCTAATAATTGGATATGAGAAGTGTCGGCTGGCCTTGTCTTCACGAGAGGCGTCATCACGATTGGGTTCGGGTTTAGGGTCTTGACTAGATAGAAACTCAACTCCAATATCTAGCTCCCTGTGGAAATCGATCCCGACCTTCTCGGATAAAAGCTGCTTCGACCTCTCTTGCTACTAAATAGTAGTACAGGGTTGGCCTCGATCAGGCTCTGAAAGATCCAATCACTACAACAAAAGGTGGTTTTAGCGGTAATTATTTAGTGGCAATAGCTTAATTGCCACTAAAGTATATAGTAAAGGTAAAATATTAGCAGCCAAATAATATTAGCCATCAATAGGTATATTTTTAGTGGCAATTCAATAGAATAGCCCGCAAAACTTTTATTTTTACTTTTTCTTTTCCCTCCAATTTTTTTTTCGCTCTAAATATTTTCTCTCCTATAAAATTTACCGCTCTAATATTTCTTTAAAAGAATTACGAATCTCATTGTAATTTGGACTTCAAACTACGGCTCTTCCATAAGCTTTGTAAAGTTCCAGGAGTAAGAAAACCTAAAATTGCAATTCGGCCTTCAACAAACAAAATTCTTCGTAGATACGGTTTTGATTTCTCTCTTTATTTCTATTTCTGTTTATAGAGCTTTCAGCTCTGAAGAACAGGGGCAAAATTCAGCTGCAAGAAAAAGGTGTGAATTGTCTTCCGAATTCATAGGGCTTCTTACTGTTTGACTTTCTATTTTTTTGTTTTTTTTGTGTGCATGTTTTTGGTTACTCTTTCTGAAAATTTAATTTAATGTTTGTTTTGTGTTTGAGAAACTAGGGCTTATGTTTCTTTAACCAATTATGAGGGGTTGTGAGCATTGGGTAAAATAGAGGGTCTTTTTTTTGGTAATCCGCTAGGCAAGTGCCTAGGGCTAGTTTCTATATAAATGAAAATCAAAAACAAAACCAACAAAGAGCATTATCTTACCTAGAGTAGGTACTTTTAATTTGTTGATTACATAGCCCCTAATACTAGCATGAGCAAAAAATACTCAAGTATGATAGTACATTTTGAACTAATTGAAAATGATTATAAGATGTAGTTGGGATAAAAGACACATGTGTATGGTAGCCTTCCTCGGTTTGTTTTTGTGCCAGCATTATGTAGATTGCTGGACGTAATTCTCCACTGTCAAGAGGACCTTTTTGGCCTATTTGTGTGGTCTTGAGATATTCGTATCTCAACTTGTCCCCTATTAAGAGAATCTGGGCATCAACTTTTCTTTTCTTTACAATAGTTGTTTTCATCCTTGCCTTGCTGTTCTTAAGCACGAGTAGTAACACCTACTTCTTTCGTATTTGCAATATCAATTCTATGTAAAGCCAGTGGCGTCCTATTATCGAGTTACCTTCATATATGATCAAATCACCCTGCTTCCTTTGAAAATGCGTCTTCAAAGATGTCCATGCTTGATTTTTCCTTTGTTGTTTCATATGTTGTAACCACTTCTGTATGTATTGGTGCATGCCCAGTTCATATGTTGTTAGAACTGGGTTCCTTATGCTTGTAATGACCAGTGACATCCCTTCCTGGGAATAAGTACATAGTGTTAATACCACCCATAGAAGTTTAAGGACCTGACGAGTCATTGTTATCGTAACTTTTCCTACAAAAAAGAGCGCATTGTTAGGCATAAAATAGTATACTGTGATATCCTCCCAAAGGGTTTGATCACATCAATCAAAATGTTGATGTCCTCCCAAAGAATAGAGGGTCGTTTTTAAGCAAATCCACTAGGTAAGGTGCTTAGGGCTATTTTTTATATATATAAGATAAAAAAACAAACCAGTGTGGGGTCCTACTTTTTGTATTGTCATGTCTGACATACACCAGGTAAGAAACATAGTCCCTATTACCAACATAGAGCAGATGATACTCAATGTTAGTAGTACAGTTTGATCTACTAAAGTATAAAAAATTGATCTATCTAAGAACTGAAAGTGAATAAAAACTAGGCAGTTGCTGAAGTTCTCCACATTATACCATGTATGTAGTTGCATCTTGTAACTCATAACTCTCAATATGTCTGCCCAGATTTTGGCCAAAGAATCATCTGTGTCCAATGAGAATTGCCATGTATATCTGTTGTTAGTGACTCGTTCATATTTACCATGGCTCTTAGGTGTTTGGTATTTGCTTCAAGTTGCTTCTACACTGCCCACAAATCTGGGCAGTGATTTCTTTGCCTGGTTTGTTCCCTTGTTTGCCTTGTCTTTCCTTTTCCATTTTTCTAGTTGCCTCTCTGCATCTGACCCATCAAAATCTTGACTAAATCATGAACTTATACCCATTGGTACTAGAATAAAGGATGGCATACACTACAACGATTGATTTGGTTTTGTAGAGTAATTGTATCTCTTATTTGACTACTTCTTCTATGTTTCTTAATTCACTAAGAATTCTCCTCCTTTTTACTAATTATTTTTAGTTCTTATAGTAATTGTAGAAAAGAAAAAAATATCTTGAATGTTATGGATTTTCCTAGAAATAAAATATGGATGTACTGTGATAGAGTTAGTAAAGAATATATGGATGGAGTAGAAGATTTTATAAACTATGCCTTTTCTGAAAAACAAGGTAGAGAAAAAATTACATGTCCTTATATCAAATGTATGCTTATCTATCAAGTAAATCGGGCTACAACATATGATCATTTTGTAGTTAATAATATTATGTCGTCATATGATACTTGGTATTGTCATGGTGAGTCTCTAAATGGATCAAATAATACTCAACTAAATAATCGCAGCCGGTCAACTTTAAGGAGTGATGATATGCGAGGAATGATACATGATGTCTTTGGAGACATTACACATTCATGAATACTGAAGTTATTGAAAGGGGTGAGATGCATCCAAACCTACAAGAAAATATTGCTCATCCATTTGGAAAGCAACCTCATCCAGAGGTGGATAAGTTTGAACGGCTCATGAAGGAGGCAAATGAAGAACTATATCCTAACAAGAACTATAAAGGAGGCAGATGATGATAGAGATATGCGACCATATATTGAGCAATTAATAGATGGTCAAAACTATTATACAACCCAATCACATATTAATCAGTTGATGGATAACAAGAACTATTCTAAAGCGGAAGAACATGACGGCCAATCTAATGAGTTGAATACTTCTGCCGGTGGCACTGAAAATTGACATAATCATGAATCAGGTAACATTTTTCTCTGGTTTGTTTTCAAATCGTAGTTATGTGAAAATTTTGGTTAATCTGTTTGTGTATATAGTTTTGTGGTCTAGAAGGTGAGCTTCTTATAGATTTTGTTATGAAGTTACATGTTTTGGTTAAGATTTATCACTTTTAGATATTTTTGGTTCAGATTTAGTATCCTGTTTTTAATGGAATGTAAGGCTTCAAAATCAGTTTCATTACTACTTTGTAACTTTTATTCATGAGAGGTGAACATGCATGGTAGGAAGGTTAGATGAAAGCATAAGAAAAAAATGATATTGGAATCTTGTCGTTTAGTCATTTTATGTACTTGGTCTTTTTTCTTTTTCATTCGTGGACTAAGAACAAAGAAAGTGATCCTGGTCCAAATCAGCTAATACTTTCAAGCTTCTAAAATGTTTAAGTACAATTTTAGGTAGTCTTCTAAACATGCTTGTTGGAAATTCCAATGATAGATAAAACAACTATAGGAGAAGCTGGTTAAGCCTAGATGCATCTTGCACTGGAATTGCAGAAATACGAAACATATTGGTTTTTTCTCTCCTGAATATACTCTTCTAGTGCTTAATGCAGTGATGTGAATTTTTAATATACTATAGAATATGTACTAGTCACATACTAGTGTAACTCTTCCCTTTGTTGTGTAGATTTTGCTTGATTTTAGAATGATTAATATGGGAACCAAAACGATATATTCCCGTGTAGTAAACTTATCCTTGCTTTTTGTGGCTGTTTTTTCATAGTATATAATGTGATTTCTTAAAATAAAATTTCAAGGAGAATGATGTCCTGCTGATATACTAGAAGTTAATATCGAAAACCTTAAAATTTAGTAAGTTTTCGTACATAATTAAAGATAAAAGCATTATCTTGTTTGCTAAAAGTTTTTGTACATTAAATTTTTTTTGTTTCCAGGAAATTTTCTACAAGACTTGTACTGATATAGAAGATTCATGTAACTCATCTCTGCTAGCTAACAGGTTTTACGTCCCGTGGTAGGTTAATATTTCGATATAGCTTCATATTAATCGTATGAAGGTGTCATGAGTTTCTTGTTGCAATGGTCCATATAACTTAGTCTTGGAATTGTGGTTATTTTTAAGTTCTTATCAGAAATCGATTATTCTTAAGTTAGCTATAGTTTTTAGAGAAAGTTAATTTCAACTATTTGTGACACATACGAACCTAAAGCAGTCACTTCAACTTTAGTCCTACAGTGTATGACTAAGGTTTTATCGAGGTTAAGTTGCATAATTTTCTGTCACCTATTTGAAAGCTTCATTAATAGCATGTAACCATAGCCCAGTATCCATATTCAAGAAAAAGAACTTGGCAACTATTATATTTGCTAATGAACTTGGTGTGCAGCTTCCCTTTGCTTCTCCAAGCTAATAGACTGCTTTTGAATTATTTTTTTGTTTCTTCTTGATCATAACAAAGAAAAAAATTTCCATTTTATTGTTTGCACATCCATTTATCTTGCCTATTGTTCCATCTAGTTGTTTCTGCTTATAAATATTATGTGAGAGAGTTGGATGAATAAGAATCTGATGGTGATGGAGTTTTTCAGATATTTTTTCACATTATATTTCATCTTTTAACACATATTTTTTTTAATTTCAGGTCATACAATATGATGTTTGATAATTTAGCAGGTGGAAGATTTCAAGTTGTAGAAATTATTTGAAAACTATCATTCATCAGGATTAGTCACATAATAGCATTAACTATTTTGTTAAAACAATATAAGCTTATATTATAAGTTAATGTGATATTGATATTTTTGATTAGTACTTCCTTTTGTTTGTTAAGATTTAGTGAGATATATTATGTTTTTTTGGGATTAATATTGATACATTTTGTTGTTTGGATAATATTTGGACGAATGTAGAAACTATTATAAATGGTGGCTAAATTATTTCCATTACAGCTTGTGACTTTTAGCTCTAATTTAACTGGATATACCTGCTATAAAAATGGACGATAAAAGGGCAAATTAAAACGTTTCCACAAGGATATTATAGCCATTATAATTATTGAAAAATAATTGATGTTAAAGATATTGACTATCAGCGGCAATTTAAATGAATATAATAGCCGTTAAAAGGGCAAATTAAGATGTTTTTAGAAGGATACTACAACAACTTTAATTGCTGCTAAACAATTACCATTAAAGATACGAACTTTTAGCGGCAATTATTTTGAATTTAGTGGCTATATAAAAGGATGCTAAAGGAGCATAATTAGCCATTTTTAGATTGGATTTAGCGGCCAACAAAATTGCCGCAAACAATTGCCATTAAAATTAATGGTTTTTAGCGGCAATAAGTCATATCTTTTACCGATTTTTGTGAGAATGGCCGCTAAAGGCTTTGCCGATGCCAACATCAACGGCTAAATACCAATGACCGGTAAAATATATAGCGACTATTGTTATTGCCGCTAAAGCCATTTTTAATTGCTGCTAAAGCCCCTTTTTGTTGTAGTGAATCTCACAAACTGGCTGGCTAAGGCCTGAACATCCATCGCCATAGGCCTCTCCGATCTTGGTAAATAAGCCAAACTCCCCAAACTCTCTGTCCAGTGACTCAAGGCATCGACTACCACATTGGCCTTGCCGAGTGATACAAAATAGTGATATCATAGTCCTTCAGCAACTCTAAGCACCTCCTCTGGCGCAAATTTAGATCCTATTGCTTGAACGGGTGCTGCATGCTCCGATGATCAGTATAAATCTCACAAGGGACACCATACAAATAATGATGTCAGATCTTCAGGGCGTGAACAATGGGAGCTAACTCAAGGTCGTGGACTGGATAATTCTTCTATGTACCTTCAACTGTCTGGACGCGTAGGCAATCACCCTACCGTACTGCATCAACACCGCTCCGAGGCCAATCCTTGAGGCATCACAATAGACCGTATAAGACCCCGAACCAGTAGGTAGTATCAAATTGGGGTTGTAGTCAAAATTAGGGCTCTTCCATCCACTGGAACGGAGCACCCTTCTGGGTCAGTCTGGTCATAGGGGATGCAATTGATGAAAAACCCTCAATAAAACAACGGTAGTAACCCACCAAGCCAAGAAAACTGCGGATCTCTGTAGCTAAGGATGGTCTGGGCCAACTCTGCACGACCTCTATTTTCTTTGGATCCACCCGAATACCCTAACTCGATACCATGTGGCCTAAGAATGTCACGGAATCCAACCAAAACTCACATTTCGAGAACTTAACATATAATTTCTTCTCTCTCACAGTCTGAAGCACAGTCCTCAGGTGCTGCTCATGATCTTTCCGACCCCGGAAATACACCAGAATATCATCAATAAAGACAATGACAAATGAGTCAAGATACGGCCGAAACACACTGTGCATCAAATGCATAAAGGCTATTGGGGCATTGGTCAGCCCAAACGACATAACAAGGAACTCGTAATGACCATACCGAGTCCTAAAAGCAGTCTTCAGGATATCTGGCTCCCAAATCTTCAACTGATGGTAACTTGAGCGCACGTTAGTATTAGAAAACACCCGTGCGCCCTGAAGCTGATCAAATAGATCATCAATACAAGGCAAAGGATAACGGTTCTTCATTGTAACCTTGTTCAACTGGCGATAATCAATACACATACCCATAGAACTATCCCTTTTCTTCACAAACAAGATAGGAGCACCCCAAGGTGATACACTGGGCCGAATAAAACCCTTATCAAGCAATTCCTTTAACTGATCCTTCAACTCAGAAGGAGCCATACGATACTAAGGAATAGAAATGGGTTGATTGTCCGGCAACAGATCAATGCCGAAATCAATATCTCTATTAGGTGGCACGCCCGAAAGCTCAGCTGGAAACACATCGGGAAAATCCCGTACTACTAGGACTGAATCAACTGAAGGGTTATCAATACTGACATCTCTCACATAGGCTAAATACGCGTCACACCCCTTCTCAAGCATACGCTGAGCTTTAAGAAAAGAAATAACTCTACTGGGAGTGTGATCTAAAGTACCCCTCCACTCAACACGTGATACACCTGGCATAGCCAGTGTTACAGTTTTGGCGTGACAATCAAGAATAGAATAATGGGGTGACAACTAGTCCATGCCCAAGATAATATCAAAATCTACCATGCTGAGCAACAATAAATCGGCTCTGGTCTCAAAACCACTAAGAGCAACCAAATACGACTGATAAATGTGGTCCACAACAAGAGAATTTCCCACAGAAGTAGAAGCATAAACAGGGGAATTCAAAGAATCCCAAGATACAATCAAATGCGGAGCAAAATAAGGAGACACATAAGAGTAAGTGGAGCATGGATCGAATAGAATTGATGCATCTCTGTGACAAACCAGTATAATACCTATGATGACAGAATCGGAGGCAACAACCTCAGTACATGTAGGAAGGGCATAGTATCTGGCCTGGCCTTCCCCTTAAGCTGGCTGAGCAGGTGGGGTAGCAACTGGTGCTGTGATCATAGCCTAAGAACTCTGCGGAGCGCACTGTGGCTGAGAAGTCTATGGAGGTGCACTCCTCCCAAGTCTAGGGCAATCCCTCACCACATTGCATATGTCACTACACTCAAAACAAGCTCTGGGAGTACGTGGCAGTGGGAACTATGCGGTACGGGTACTCCAAGACCCTTGAACACCTAAAACACTGTGTGAAATCTGAGATGCAAACTGAGCTGGCTAACCCACAAAACCTCTACCATGTCGTACTCTTCCTCCAAAATAAGGACCAGTGGGTCTCTTAAGTCTACGAGGTCTCCTCACTTCCTTATACTCTCTCTCCTGAGCTCGTTTGTCCTCTCTCTCCTGGACCCACATGTCCTCTACTCGGCGAGAGGTCCTCACCACCTGCTGAACTGGGACCCCAGGCTATGTCGCTATGACACTTGGAACCCGACCAATGAGAACTCGTTGCTCTGGAGTGGGGGTAGTAGAAGTTTGGGTCTCTTTCCCGATCTCTGAAGTAGTTGGTACAACCTAAATTAACCCCGCCTGAACTAATATACCAAACATGCTCAGCAACTGTGCTAATGTCTACTGAAGTACTGGAGCAGTAGTAGCAGTAGGCGTATCCGGTGCCTGGGCTCTGGCTGGAACTGCTGGTGGCTCCTCGGTGGCAGCTCGCGCGCGTGCTCTGGCTGTACCGCGTGCGCGTCCTCGGCCTCTACCCTAGCCCCGACCTCTGACAGCTCTCGTAGAGGGCGCGGGTGTCTGATCATCTCTGGTAGCACGTGTCCTCACCATCTGTGAGAGAATGGAAGACAGAGGTTTAGGATTTGTGATGTCAAAAATCTCGCATGACAAAGAAACCAAATGAAGTGGAATTTTCCTAATGGTTACATAGCCTCTCGTAGATAAGTACAGAAGTCTCCATACCGATCAGCGATACTCTAATAAACCGGCTTGTGATTCATGACTCCGATGAATCGAGAGCTCTTATACCAACTTTTCACGACCCCGGTTCGCCCTTCGTGAACCATCGTGACGACACCTAGTCTCTACGACTAGGTAAGCCTAAAATGCAAAAGATAAACCAATTTGGGGAAGAAAATAATTTAAAACAGAAATAGAGTGATATAACAGCATTTAAAAGTGTCGCTCGACATACACAATATAAATCCTCAAAACTAATATATTTTCCCAAAACCCAAAAACCCATGAATCCACAAGCCTTGGAATGTCTACCAGTGTCTAACTCCAGAATATCTAACAAGGAAAAGGAAATACAGAAGGGCTAATACAATAAGGAGAGTAGAAAGAGACTCTTCGGTCTGCGGACGCGGCAGATATACCTCGAAGTCTCTAGAACAGTCGCCTCGCCTCAAAGGTGATAGGACTGAGTCAAGGTACCTAGATCTGCACATGAAAAATATGCGCAGAAGGGGCATGAATACACCACAACGATACTCAATAAGTGTCAAGCCTAACCTCAGTTGGATAGTGACGAAGAAGGTCAGGGTCCTACTGAGGTTAAATATAATATAAGGTCTAACAGTGTAGAATAAGACAGTATAATTAAGTGCAACGGTAAGAAATAACATAGAACAGAAAGAACAACAGCAACTAGAACAGAGACAAAATAATCGTGGAAATGAAATACAACTCAACATAGAGATAACAACCGGGGTACCTTCCAGGATACCGTCCTGTAGTCCCAATTACATCTATCCAGCGGATCTCTCGGGATACCGTCCCATAGTCTATCATATATATCCGAAGGATCTCCCGGAATCCCGTCCCGTAGTCCAACTATCAGTGTGCGGGGATCTACCGGAATCCCGATCCGTAGTCTCAAATATAAATACCCAGTACTGGGGGAATTTATCAGGTGCAGTCCCGTAGTTCCATATAACTGTGGGGGGATCTACCGGAATCCCACATCCGTAGTCAGAAGTAAATAGACAAGGGGGAGCTACCGGAATCCCACATCCATAGTCCCAAATGTAATTACACAGTAGCATTAGGAAAATATTCAGAAATGTCAATTTCATATCAAGGCAAACAAGTAATTCTAGCCTAGCATGCTGCACGGAATTTAGGTAAAGCAGTTTGAGCAAATAAGGCAATTAAAACACTTAGACATGCTTTCCTAAGCTAACAACAGGCTTTAAATGCAGGTAATATAAACAGGAAAAGAAACATATTAGTAATTACTTAATGAAAATCGGATTTCAATAATTAGCACAAGTACACACTTTTCACCTCACGTACAAGGCATTTCAACTAACATGAATATCAAATCCTAAGGGGAAGGTCCCCCACACAAGGTTAGGCAAGCCACTTACCTCGAACCGGCTCAAAATCAACTCGAAACCACGTTCTTGCCATGA